GCATGGTCTAACTTCAGAATAAGGCAAAACAGACAACTATCTGTAAAAAGCCCTTCGAGAATTCAAAGAAAGAAAATCAAAAGCCAACAGGTTTACCGAAATAGACTCCGCCACTATGTCGCCTTCAACCCGATTATGTCCAAGATGTGGGAAGCCCTAAGAAATGGAACCATGGGAGGATACAACGTGTTCTTATTGTCTTGTGATGATTCAGCTAAGCGGATTTCAGTCATCATTTGGTTCTTTCAGGTGACGAGAGGTTCGTCCCACGAGCTGAAGCTGAAATACTTTGTCGAGGTTGTGCAGCTGTTTCTTGGTGCAGGGTTGGAAGTGTCCGACTGTCAAATATACTTTGTTATCCCGAAAGGCTTTAAAACCCGGGTGTCAGGTGTTACCCCCCATGGGACACTGTTTCATGATAAATTCGGGTGGGTCAATTGGTTCAAGAAAAACGACAAGAATCTCGTTGTGGTAACACTGAAAACAAGGACCGACTGTTGACGATCCTATACTGCGGCAACCTCCTCGTTCACCTAGATACCAGGTATTTGGTGATACTTTCCAAACCTCATGTCTGCGGGGCATTCCCGCTGCATGCTATGATGTTGTAAAGCCAGCTTACAACCATGGTTTCGCAAACCGATTTCTCATTGGTTACCTGTGTATTAACCGGTCAAGTTTTCCAGGTTATTTAATCGGTCATTCCATAAACGATTAACCGTAAACTCGGTCACTATTTCATTTTGAATTGGTTGAATAAACGATAACCGGTAATCCGGAGCTATTTTGACCTGGTGATCGAGCGGCTTATCGTATACGGTTATTTGGTTACTTGACTGTTTACTTGACTGGTTACTTGATAGGTTATTCGATTTTTGACCTTTTCCATTTCCTCTCATAAATTTTCCAACACAAATCAACGCAAAAAACGGGGAACCTCTCGCATTTTGGTTATTCGAGTGGTTACTTTACAGGTTATTTCGACTGGTTATTGGTTACTTTACTGGTTACTTGACTGGTACTTGCGTCAGTCGCCACCCTGCTTGTTTGCACTGTCGCTGGAGCTCTGGGCGGGAAAGCGAATCAATTTCGTCTCCTTTTTCCTCCGCCTCTCCTTTCTTATGTACCATGCCATCTTGATCGAAGGGGACTGCGGGATGAGGTTCTGGCACGACGTCTCCTCCGACCGTATCTCCTTTGAGAACAAACTTTTGAGTTTTCGTTTCGGCCTCCTTATACTGAAAGAAAAAATCTTCCTCGAAGACCCACCCTTCAAAAGAAGGGTTTCCATAAGCCACATGATAAAGAACTGGGAAAGCATGCTCCTGACCGTGCTCCACTAGTGGCCTCACGGCAAACTGGCTCACAATCCGCTTGCAAACACCACCAGAATCATCTTCAATGAAGGCGAGAAGCCGATGGCGTCGCTCAGGGTGATTCATTCCTCTTTGAAACACCGCCCCTATATTCGTTGCGTCGAGTGTTTCCACAGCATCCTGGATTGCCGATTTGACTTCCTCAATGGTTAAGCCAGCCAAAAAAATAGCGAGCACAGCCTCCTGCGTAGTAGAACTTTTCATCAATATCTTCAAGCACTTCGGGGTCCAGGACGGTACCTTGTGAAGCTTTGGTAGCATTATCGCTTGAAGAACTTTCAATTTTTCGCCTCTTCGAAACTTGTAGGCCAAAATCTGGGTCCGATCTTGCACGCTTGAAAGAAGTGAGGTACTCGTCATAAGACAACGAAAACTTCTCATATTCTTCCGCTCTTGTCTTCTTGTCAACTCTCTCTTCGGCCTTTATGCTGAAAGCATACGAGGAAACAATCATTGCAGTTCGCTGGCCTGGTTTCTGTCCTGCCCAAAGTTGAACTGCACCATCGATAACGTTGAAAGCTTCTTGGTCTCTATAACCGTCGAACACGAGGACCGCCGACGAACAATTCTTAATGCGACCTGAGGCAAATCGGAACTCCTCTTCTTCTGCTTCGGAGTAACACACAACGCCGTCTTTCCTTCTCCTGAACTCCACACGATAAAGAACTCTTCTTCGATGACTTACATGGAGCCAGGTAGCCGACTTTCCTGTTAACTTCACATACGCCTGCAACCAGGCAAAAGTCGTTGTGGTCTTGCCCGTTCCAGGCGGCCCACGCACATAGCCAATAACGGAACGGTTGTCATCTTGAGGAGCGCTCCACTGGGAGAGTTTGTCCCAGAGGCGACAAGTTTCCCCGCGACAATACATTCTGCCCCTATTGACTGGAAGTCCAGTGGTTTCAAGGAGTCGTACGTCGAGATAGTCTCCTTCCTTGGGCTTGTTGTCGGGTATGTCCGCCGAAGGAACAGCTGTCCAGTCGAAGAGAGGTGATAAGATCCACGCCCCCATTGTCTTGTCTAGCTAGTCACTAATGCATTTTCGTTGTAGGAATAACAATCCGCCCGTGTCGCTGCGTGGTAGTTCGGTTCCTGGGCGTAAGGGCCGTCGTCGTATGGGTTCGACGGTGACTTGGAAATACTGTTGTTATAGGAGACATAGCAGGACGGCGGCGGAGCAGCAATAAGCGAGACGACGAGGGTCCTTAAGTCAGGTTACCAATGTTTTACCTCGGCAGGTTGACTGCCTGAGTTCTCAACCCCTTTTAAATTCCGTCTCCTGATGAGACGGCGCTCCTTTTGGTTACCCCCTCAGCCCCTCAGTCCTCAGGTGCGTTCCTAACCAAACTCCATGTGTGTCCTCCGTGCATACGCGAAACACATTTATTTTCATCGATTTATTTAGGCGTATGTATCAAGATTTCATTCCTATCCATGTGACACACATACGCGGTACGCGAAAGAAACACCACCGCAAATTGTTGGCCGGTCTAGATATTTAGCGGACCCGGATGAGAAAAAGACCGCACCACCGTAGGAATTTAAGGAAACTGGCATTCTCAGATCCAGACTTCAAAGCGACCAGCCAGAAAGATCACTTTTTCTTCACAGCTCGCCCAAATCAACAAATTAACCTTGATATTACTAGTAGCTGCAGTGTTATTAGACCCAACACTGTGAAGAAAAAGAGCTTTTTGGATTGTTTGTATTGAGTTTGCCCATGGTAAAGACCAAAAAGATAGAGTAACCAGGAATTGAACTAGAGGTGCTGAATTACAGTGGCTAGCCTCACTATCAGAGGTGCCTGTGGGGCTCAACAAGCAATAAATTCGCCTAACATTTTCGCTCATTCCAAGCGCTCGGAGCATCGGCCGATCGAGTTTTCGACCAATTCAAGCCATTCCAAGAATACCAGCGTCAAGAAGAGCCATAGACTGTCCATATTGATGCTTGAAACAAGCCGATCCGACAAGAAATGAAGGAGTAATCGCCGAACGCGTGTTTTGGGTACCACCTACAGAGCAAAAGACGATCGCGCCGAACGAACTCGACGACCGAACCAAGAGGAATACAGCTACGCCCGCATACAAGGTTCGAAAGAGGACCTATTGCCGCCGATGCCACGACAAGTGCAAGCTCTAAACTCCGAAAATTGAGAAAGATATCGCCGATCGAGTCAAGCAGTGCTGAAGTCCCCGGAATTCCTACAGCCCGACAGTAATCGACGCAGTGAAACTCAAGAAAGAAGACTCTCGAGCCTATTAAACTGCTCCAGTAGGTCCATCTAACAACAATACAAGAATCTACAACAAGAAGAAGGATTCGAGTCGACCGATAGAACAATTCGGTAGTATCCTCCAAGCAAACTGTGGAATTTCTACAGGTGTGAGCCAGCAAGAGCCACGAAGCGCAGATAGGAACAAGCCAATTTTAAGGCTGGAGCAGTCACAGTAGTGACATATAGACCCACAGATGCAACCTGATCAATAGGAACAGAAGAGGAACCCCCTCAAACTCCACCAAGCGTCCCACAAATCCCAAGTACACCGGTTCCAGTACAAGTCCACGCCGCCAGTAATTCCTCAAGGAAAATAGACCATATCAAGAGCAATATGACACGATTCAACAACGGAGGAGGCCGTGGCAACAGAGGAGGAGGCAGAGGCTCCTCCGTCAGAGGCCAAGGCGCCGGAAGAGGCGGTGCCAGTAGTGGCGGTAGAGGCAGAGGACAAAGCAACCGCCGCAAGTACATGTTCCATCCCAATGGACAAGCTGACTCCAGATTTTAAAT